GAGCGGGGTCGGGGAGGCGCCGCGCGGCGGCTTCCCCGCGGGCTCGTCGGGCGGCCGGAGGGGCAGGGGCGCCCCCGCCGTGCGGGCCGCTCCTGCCGGGCACTGGGAAGTGAGCAGCCGGTGAAACTAAGTGACCTTGCGAGGGTTTCCTCTTTTTATTTTTTCCCCCCCTTTTCCCTTCCCCTCCGTCATGCCATTTCACGTCAAGTTTAGTATATTTCACGTTTCTCCGGGCTGCGTCATGTGCCGAGAGCCCTCCGGAGAGCTGCGTGCGCTGCTGCGCGCGCCGAAGGCGGCGTTAACGTGCGGGGCGCCCGCGGCGCGTCCCCGCAGCGCCCGCCTCCCCTCCCGCACAAGTTGGGGGCTGCGGCGGCCGTGGGGCGCAGGGGGGGCCGCCCGGCAGCTGCGAATGCCAGTTTTGCGGGGTCGGTTATTTGTGCTCTTCGCTGCCGTTTATGAGTTGCCCTGTACGTCACCGCACAAGGAGCTGCTGTGTTGGTGCTATACAGGATTATTTATTGGGGCATGTGCGGCGGGCTGCACCTGGGGGTTGGCGCTTCGCTGCCTTTTGCATTTCCCTGTGAATTGTCAATTCATCGCGCTGCGAAGGGCTGCGGGGGGGAGCGCCTGGACTGACTTTCTGTCACCAATAAAATCGGGGCTGCTGCTGGAGGAGGAGGATTTGATCTCTCCTAAGATGCAATCAGCTGCATTCAGCGGCATCGCATTTTTTAAGAGTAAACCGGTGATTAAAAACAGTGATGGCTTTCACAGCAGTTTAGGGAGTGTGCCACGCAAAATGTAACTCTGTGAACAGCGTCAAGTAAAAACCATGTTGCAAGGAAAGGCGTGCAATGCAAACCTCATTCTACCTGGCTGAAAATAACCAGATTGGGCCTCTCCTTGTCGATGGGGAAGGGCTTTGCTGCTTCACGCGTTATTCAACTTGTCCTCCATGTGTATAAAACATCTCCCTCTTTTCGGTTTCTCACGCAAGCATTTTTTTCTGTTCTTGATTAAAACTGCAATCAAAAATACTCAGGCACTCAGTGTACCTCACTTTAGCAGAGTGCTGCTTCAGGAGGCAGTTTTACTGGGCGCTGTTTAAAAAATGGGAACATTGAAAACCTGTAATCCTTGGATTGGAGAGAGGAGAAATAATTTCAGCTATTTCTTCTTCAGAGATGAAGGAGAATGAAGAAGCAAATGAGGAAATATTTTGTAGGAGAAGATTGTCCTGAGTAGTGGCTGTGTCTTGCTGGATATAAAATTCCTTTGGTCCATCTCATGGTGCCACTTCATAAATGTTGTTTACTCGGTTTCTGCCATTTATTTTGGCGCAGCTAGCAGACTCAGTTAGCATATTAGACACATTTCTTGTGAGCAGCTTTATACCTGCATTTCAAAGTAGTTTTTCCTCTTGGCTTGCTTTGCTTCCTCAAACTRTACAGTGTAGTGGCTCGATGGATTTGCTGAATTCCTCCGTTTTCTTTCTGTGGGCGATGGGATACACAGGCTTTTTCGTCAGCTCTGCACGTGAATAAGATCTTTGTTCTGGGGGTCTGAAGCACTTMTGGATTGTAACTGGGGATGGTTCCCATTAGTGAAGCTGAAGCTAATTAAAGACAAGGTGACAAAAAGTCAAACTGACTGGTGTCCTGCATAGAAGTGCCGCTTTTCTGCATCGTCCGCTCAGAGCCTTACTTAAGGAGCTGGTCCTGAGTATTGATGAGGCATCAAGCGAGAGGAGAGGACRGAGAATGATGTTTCTCAGCTAGTGCACGGAATAGCATTAACAGCAAGCAGCCCTCTCAGAAAGGAAGCAAATAAGTAAAAGAGCCCCGTGTCAACTGCTTGCTGTGAAAGGGGAGAGATGGAGGTGGAAGAGGGAGTAATAACATGTTGAGCTGAGAAGCAGTCTGTCAGCTGAGTTCGGATATGATATTAGTCTGCTCTGCCCTCTCCAGTGTTTGTTGTGAAAATAGTAGGAAATAGTAGGACTGCTGAGGTTCTTAGTCTGTGCACTTTAATGATTCTGGAGCACTTAAACCATGTTGCCTAGGGTTAAATTGTTACCTGTGTTTACACTCCTGTCTTTGATTCTTTTGGTTTATATTTTTTTTTTTCCGTTTCATAAATCCAGCCATTTGAGATACTTTGCAGTTGGAAGGCAGCATACACTTAGAATAACTTAGGAACGTCTTCTGAAATGTTTTCATGCAACTTGGAAAGTAAGTTGTATATTGTAAGGAGTTATCATGTGAGGAACTAATATTAAAAGTAGTTTTTCTGAATTTCTATCATACAGATATGGGTTAGGATTATCCTGGAGTTGTAGCTGCTATAGCCCCCTGCTGTGTGATAATGCAAATGGCATCTAATGCCTTAATGTGCTCTGCTTCTCTGAAGACACTGGATAGAGCCATATGTGATAGCAAATGAAGTGTTTTCAGTTCTTCTCTGCCAACGCCAGGCAAATTTTTCAGTCGGGCTTCAACAGACACTTCACACACTTGCAACCCATCTACCAATGAAAATAATACAGGGGCGCTTCATCAGCAACTGTGATTATTGATGCAGGAGATCAGTCAAGATCGGTAATTGCTTCAGGAGCCCAGACCCATTACAAATAGAATTTCAAAAATGAGGAAATATGCAAATAGTTCCTTCTCACAAAAGCTGGTTTAAAACATTGTTGTGATACTCCAGTCAATATCCTGTACAGCTAGTGCTCTTTTTGAATTTTCCCTACAAGTTCTGTTAGCAAAATCTTGGCAACCCAATGCCTAAATATATAGGAATTGGCCGAACAATTTAATGTTATGCTGTTACAATGTACAGTAGGTCCAGAGCATGTAGTAGTAGTTTAGTAAATTCAGTGGGAATGTAGACAATTACAGAATAGAAGGCAATGGTTTTAGAGGAAGCTGGTACAGACTTTATCTGGAGTGTTTTACACACAAGGAAAAGATAGATTTTATGACTCTACTTCATCTTGACTATGTCTGTATGATTAACATCAGTCTAACCCAGGCTTGGTTTATTAGCTATCCAGCTTTCAGGTTAGTTCATATTTTATGAGTTCTTTGGCTTGACTTCCTCTTAAGTTTCTACTAATAGTCATAACACAGCACTGCTGAACAGCTTTCACACAGGACGTAACTCATCGATCAGGATTCCCAGTGATGACTTTACATAGCCTCCCTGAACAAGGTCTGTAGGATGAACATGAAAGAGATGAATATGGTGGCGAGTATGGAAGAAGCGAATGAGTGTGTTCCAGACACACATACACACACAGAATTTATCAAGTTTCTATCAGGTAATCCCTGGCTAAACACTTGTAAGGCTTGTCTGACTGCAATTCAACAGTTCTGAAGTTTCTCACTGAAGAAGCAAATTCACTGGAACACTGATTAGGGGAAACACTTGCCTCCTCTGCCACAAGTACTTCTTTCTTGTCTGTCCTCATCTTCATTTTTTTTTTCAGTGTCAGAAAAGTAAAACTGTGAAACTTCTTTCTGATTTTGAATTTACTTAATTCTGCCCATTGTAATTCTATTATAAAAAAAAATTAACTGTCTCTTTAAGGCATAATTTATACAAGTCTTTGTTCTTGTATTTAGCTTTCCATTGCTCTGGTCAAGTTCAACTGTTGAAAAAACAAGCATTGAATGTGATTGCACTGAATCATTCCATATAAGATCAAGATTGGGTTTTGAGTTTTTTTGTTTGTTTGTTTTTACATTTTTACATCACAAGCAGTGATGAAGTAAGTGATAGTATCTGTTTGTGTGGTAAACACTGATGGACATCAGGTAGTTGTCAAGAGGACTTCAGTGGAACCGGGCAAGTCATTGCCTCGTGGAGGACAGAGCGATGATTCCTTCATCAACTAATATTTAAAAAGTAGCAATAGAAAAT